CACTGTGACGTTGCTGCTTAGTGACGGAGTTCCAGAATCTGTGGCAATAACTTGGAACTGGAACGTTTTCAGAGTTTCAAAGTCAAAACTCTTCATCGCCAAAATATCTCCACTCTCAGTATTGATGTTGAGAAATGAGGTTACTTTATCTCCACTTCCGTCTCTGAGAATATGATAGGATATAAGAGCATTGTCGGGCTCATCACGGTCAAAAGCTTTAACAGAAAACACAGAGATACCTGGATCATTAGCTTCAGCGACATAGAAAGTATAGGGACTCAGTGAAAACTCTGGTCTGTTGTCATTCACATCTGACACCACAATATTTATTTTCATTGCTGAAAATAGTGGCGGTTGACCAGCGTCTTTTGCAAATATTGTTAGCTCATAGTTGGGCTTTTTCTCTCTATCCAGAGGTGATTTTGTCACTAATGAATACATTTTGTCTTTTAATGATGGTGTTAAAGCAAATGGGACATCCTCCCCTATAGAGCAAATCACTTTTCCATTGAGACCAGAGTCCAAGTCATTTACACTGATAAGGGCAACTGTAGTTCCAGACCTGGAATCTTCAGGGATGGAACTTGAAAATGAAGTAACTTCAATCTCAGGTGCATTATCATTCACGTCAACTATCTTAATGATGACACTGTTGTCTGTTTTAAGAGGAGGGAGACCTTTATCTGATGCCTCAATTTCAATTTCATATCTGTCCTTCTCCTCATAGTCTATCAAACCTTTAACAATTATGTCGCCTGTTAATGGATTGATATCAAATAGATTTAATATATTTTGATTCATACTGTTGCTAAATGAATAAGCTACATCTCCGTTTGGACCGTCATCTAAATCAGTTGCATTCACTTTTATGACTGTTGCTCCTACTGGAGCATTTTCATCCAGCATCACAGAATAAACATCTTTAGAGAAAACAGGTGCGTTATCATTAACATCTGAAACAGTTACTAAAATGTTCATTTCGCCAGATTTTGGAGGTTTTCCTCCATCCAGTGCTGTCAGTACCAATGAGTGGCTTCCTGCAGTTTCTCTGTCTAATGGTTTTTGAACAATCAATATTGGTATTTTACCATCTTCCCCTTTATCCTTAACTTCTAAACGGAAGTGATCGTTTTGGCTGAGTTTATACTGTTGCACGGAGAAGTGACTGCTGTCTGGATCCCGTGAAGGTTTTAATTGAAATCGTGCTCCGGGCAAAACCGACTCAAAAATGTCCAGCGATTTCTCTTTTTGCGGGAAAATGGGAGAATGGTCGTTTATATCCAGCACCTCCACTTCGACATAATGTACCTCCAGAGGGTTTTCCAGAACAGTTTTCAGATTAATTACACACGTACTGCTCTGCGCGCACACCTCTTCTCTGTCAATCTTCCGGCTCACATACAGGACACCATCATTCTGATTTACGTGGAAAAGATGATCGGCATTACTAGAAACAATCCGATACTTCCTGTCTTTTAGTGTGCTTTTATCTAATCCCAGATCATTTGCTATATTTCCAACCACAGTTCCTTCGTTAACCTCCTCGGAGATGGAATATCGTGATTGCGCCGAAGCCAGGTTCCACAAAAGCACAGCAACCACGCAGCCGACCAAATATCTTCTCGTACTTATTGGTTTGCATGTTCTTTGTTCCATAGTTGAACCCGAAAGCATCAGTAATCCATCACAAGAGATGTTATAGAAAATAGAATCCAGCTCTCCCCTGTACATAGATATTCACTCTCCTACATATTCAGAAATAGCAGCGCGTCCTGCAACAATGAGCTCAGAAAAGGCTGTACTAATATCGAAGAGAGAATGTTAATAAGAGGTGGAACCAAAATCCAATGACGACAAGCTCGCTTACTGTTGACTTTTTACGTTACACTGACACCATGCGACCAGACGTCTCACACCAGAAAAGTCGATGGGGATGTAGAAAATTAGACAAAATGGTCATTTGTTTTGTACTGTGAACCTCTGACCAAACGTCATCGAGTATTTGGTAGGAGACGAGGAGGTGGCCTCCTTCTCATTAAACATGAAAACTCCAAATTACCTTGAAATAACGTGAGAATTGTTAGATAATTATGCATAGCATAACAGACCAACAGGCATTAATCACTATATAATATGCAATAAATGGAAAATAGAAAGCAATGCTCAAAGTCAGAATTGTATATAAGAGAAATTAGGGTGCTGATTGGATTTTTAAATAGTAACAAGATTCATGAACCAGAATTGACTCCAAATTTTCAATCACTCCTAACGTTAACCTTTACAGAATAACTCTGTCGTTACAACGAGAAAGGATCACACTTGAAAT